CAAACTGTACCTAAAAATTTATGTTAATGCTCTATAAATGCACGACTATTGTATTGCGCATCAATTAGATGGTTTCCCCATATAGATATTTGTTTTCGACGCGTGGTTGTAAATGCATCAAAATTTTCACAAATTGTGGCCTTTCTTATTTTTTTGGGTCGTTAATCTTTCTTATGGTTTTTTGTAGATGGGAAAATTATAGAAATGAGGAAGAAGCATCTCTTGGTCGTGGAAAGCGCCAAAGAAAAGCCGTTTCGTACAGAGAGGCATATGTAGCTCATCCGAACGACTTACTGAACGAAGTATTTTTTTTTTCTCTCTCTCTCCAATTATACTCCTATTTCTCATTCTATCTCAACATAGGATATAAAATAATGTAGAACTCTGTGCCTTTTGTGACTTTTTGATCAACACTGACTAGTCGGGTACTGTTGCTAAATTTTGCTTGACTAATTATAGTAAAAGTTGATTAAGATACCTCGCAGGTGATAAATGATCCAAATATCAAAAACCAGTTCAACTCTAGTTTACAATTTTCCTGCCATAGTTTGCTTTTGTGAGCATGAAATGAGATCTTAGGGAATATATCTATGAAGCTAGATTAATTTCCACCAAAGAACATATTATGACAAGTTTATTATTTGCTATCTCAGAGTGGCGCTGAAGAGGAACCGGAGCGTGAACCCGAGCCTGTGCGTGAGTACACCCCAGCTGGACGCGCTCTTAAGGAAAAATAGTGAGTTCCGCTTTTATTAATTTTTTTTTTTTTTTTATTTCATATTTAGTAGTTTTTGTGATGTGATAAATATATCCCATATTAACAAATTTTCTCTTCATTTTAGCTTATAGAAAAGAAAAAACAAACCAGTAGATACATATTGCGCGCTGCGCTATCATTGCACAAGAATTGCGCAAGTTCGATTCTTTCATTTCTTAAAAAACAAGATTTTCTCTCGAAACTATTATTCCAAGTTTAATTATAATTACCTTTTCGAAATTTTTTATTATTCAACAGTGCCAAGCTTCGTGCACGACAAAAAGAAAGGTTAGCAAGAAGGAACACTATGGAGCCATCAGCTCCAATTGCTTATACTGCCCAACAAGAGAAGCAAATGGCTGCTGCCAAATCGAATCTTTCCCGTGAAGAAAAATCTTCAAACGCTGTCGATTTGGAAAATCAGAATCAGAGCCAACCAGAAGTGGGACCCAGCATGTTGGGAAAGACGCCGAATCACAAATCTGCTGCTTTCCTTACGGAACAACTTCCTGTTATTTCTACCGGATTGCATCTTCCGGAAGTTTCTAAGGACAGTGATCAGTTACGAGGCGTGAGTGTGGGTCCTACAGATGCTATGAATGATAACTTGCTGCCTGTTATTGGGCTTTGTGCGCCCAATGCTCCTAAACGGGCCGAGCCTCTGCAGAGGAGAATCCCCAGGCCTCCTCCCCAAAGGCAGCAGCCCACTCAAGGGCTCGGGTTCGAGTTCCCTTTACCTGCTCCTCCTGCTTTGGGCTCGGGCTTTCCTACTGATTCAATCAATGCCAAAAATAAAGAGGCAATCTCAGGCCCATACAGGATGCCCGACTTTTTTCCCGGCAATTCTCAGCCCGTGCAGAATAAAGGCGATAATAGCCTCGACAAGTATCTGCCTTTCAAGAATCCGGTATATAAATTACTATATAAATCTTCTCATCTTAACCGTATTATTATTCTAACAATCGTCGTTACTTATTATTAAATCTTCATTTATTTATTTACAGCAGCCGATGACAATGGGGAAAGGTAAAGGTCCCGCGGAGCATTCGGGAGCATCTGCTGCTGCTGCTGCTACATTTTCCGATTTTCAAGAAAAGATGCTTCTGCCGAGACTCCCTTTCGACGAGAAACTTCTGCCGAGGTACACTCTTCCTCCACCGAACATGCCAGGTGGCGCAGGTCCCGATTTATTCCCGAACCTCTCGCTCGGGGGCTCGTCGAGAGCCCGAGAGCCCTACGATTTTCCCATGCTGCCCTTGCTTCCGAATTTCAAGTACCCTCCCGAGCCTCACCCGAATTTCACTCACCAAGATCCGCCGCCGCCACGTCAGATGCCACCGCCCTCTTTCTCATCTTTCCCTGAGAACCACCGGAAGGTTCTGGAGAACATCTTGCTCCGTACCGGGCCCGGGCCCGTTCCAGGCCCGAGCAGTTTTCTCAAAAAGAAGCCAAGAATGGACATATGGTCGGAGGACGAGCTCGACTATCTCTGGATAGGCGTTCGCCGGCACGGAAGAGGCAATTGGGAGGCGATGCTGCTCGACCCAAGGCTGAGATTCTCGAAATTCAAGACCCCCGATGACCTGGCGACGAGATGGGCCGATGAGCAGCTCAAGATCATCACAGAAGGCCCGAAGCCCGAGAACAGCCCGTTTTCTGGAATGACCAACGAGATGCTGGCCCGTGCAGGGATGATGATGTCACAGGGTTTGCACGGTGGTGGTGGGCCCATGATGAGATCTCAGGCCCACATGACGGACATGAGGCTGGGCCTCTCTGGCGGGCCTCCGCCGCCGCCGTATTTCGAGCCGCCGAAATTTTCCGGCGAAAACCTATTTGTGGGGATGGCCGGAAAATCGTTCGCCCCTTCGAGCTCCGGTTACCTTCTGAACACGTTCGGTACGAGTTACCCGAATAATAATCCTCTCGGTAGGCCACCACAACAGCAGAGGGAAGGCCCGTTTTTTCCGGGCCTTAATAGTTTGAAACCGGCTGCCGACGACATTCAGGACATGAAAATTTCCGAGCCGAAAGGAAAGGAAGTGGCGGTCGAGCGGGAGACTTCTTCACCGAAGGGCACGTTGCCACATTGGCTTCGGGAAGTGGTGAAAGGCGGGAAAACTCCCGAGCCAGAGATTCCTCCGGCTCTGTGCGGTTTAGCTCGGTCGTTAATCGTGCTTTTTGGGGAAGGCTCGTTTCTGATTCCTCCGTTTTTTGTGCCGGGACGAATGCCTGTAAAGCCCAAGGATCCTCTGCGTCTTCTGAAAAAGAAGATGAAGAAGAAGCTGGAAAAGAAGATGATGAAGAAGAAGAAAGCAAAGTTTGGAGATGTGGGCCCGATCTCATCAGATGTGCCAGTTGATCTTTCGGGTGCAGAGGAAGTTGGAGGATCGGCGGCTGCAGCGAGTGAAGATTCGAGCAAAACACATTCTGATGAGCATTTGCACAAGGAAAATGGAGAAGAGGCATCTTCAGAAGGCACAGTCTCTGATCATCATCCAGACGAAGATGATAATGATGATGAAGATGAAGAAGAAGAAGCCTAGAAATGGCGAGTATATCGAGCATCAGTTTTGTAGGGTGCGGTTTTGTGTGGGGATTTGTTGCAAGTGTTAGAAGAACATTAGGGGTATTAAGATGTAGAGAATGATGAAAGTTACAACTATTTTTCCTTTTTAATCTTTATTATCTAGCCTTTGTGTTTTGTTGTTGTTTTTGGAGAAAAAAGGTGAAAGTTTGTAGACGCTTGTAGTTAAATACTTATTAATAGTCCTATGTTGAGAATTAAGACTGCTTGCTTGCTCTTAGATTAGATTGAGGGGAGCAAGGAAAGCTTATAAAGATGAAAGAATCAAACATGTGTGTATTTTTTGGTGGTTTTCTTGTGTTTTTGGGTTTATGCGCAGATATTGCAGGGGGCATTAATGGGTTTCACGGCTGCACAGATGCTGCACGGAGCTTGAA